GAGAGAGAGAAAGAGAGAGAGAGAGCGAGCGAGCGAGAGAGAGAGAGAGAGAGAGAGAGAGAGAAAGAGAGAGAGAGAGAGAGAGAGAGAGAGAGAGAGAGAGAGAGAGAGAGAGAGAGAGAGAGAGAGAGAGAGAGAGAGAGAGAGAGAGAGAGAGAGAGAGAGATGACCGAGTTGGCCGGGTCACGTGCTATCTCTCATAACACCCCCCCCCCCCCCTTCATACCAGTAAGAGAAGAGGAAGAGAACCTCAGGGGATAGAGAACCAGGGAAGAGGGCTGAGAGATGAGTAACGTTCAACCATCGCTGCGCGTGTTATGTTGAATAACACTGACAACCCAGGAGACTTGGGACACACTGCCAAGGCACTAGGCGCCCCTCTGTGCCCTGGACCCATGCCAAATAGTTTCGTAGCTGACGTGCGCCGCCAGCCCCTAAAACATGACAGAACAGAGGCGAGGAAAGCCCCGGCGATTCACTGGTAGGGGAGAGCGGGGAGAGTTGTATCATGTCCAAGTTGTATCAGGGCTAATTGTGCTAAACTTATCCAATGGATGGCGCTCGTGACACGACCAGCCGACGAGGTTTTCCGGGCGCCATCTTTCCCTGTTCTTTCGTGTGGCTGGGTGGACGCGTCTCGAGGTGAGAGCCGATTTTATGTTTTTTAATGTCATTCTAAAAAAAAATAAGTTGCAGGAAAATGTGTGTTTTGGGCATTTAGATGTGCACGAATTTGAAAGATCTCCGTAGCGGTGGTGAGGGTAGGCTCTAAGGCTGCTTGAGTGAAAATGGATTTCTCAAGCTGTCCGCTGTTTTTGAGCACGAGGATGCTTTTTCCAAGATGGCGGCGAGGTACATGTTGTATCAGAGCCGGGTGGGGTATGTTGTAACATGTACGTATGTATGTATGCATGGGTATGTTGCTTTTGATCGCGAAAGCTAAGCCCTGGCTCGCGTTTGTAGGTAGCTAGTCAATACTCGTTCCATTTTGGCACAATGTGTTGGCTTCTTTGCTCTTAACGGGCCACTTTTGCGTCTAGTCTGTTGATGTTTCGTTCGTTTCGATGTTTCGTTCGGATTGACCTAACTTTGGTCTAATAAAAGTGAAGCCTTTGAGCATATACATTGTATTAACCCCATTTAATGTTGTTGTTATGTTCAAAACCAGTAGCAAGCACACTCCCTGAAACGTGAAATAGTGATACAAATTACCCCACCATGTGATACAACTCACCCAAGCCATGAGGCAAGTTGTATCAAAAACATTGTTCTATTTGGCAGACCGTAGAAGAAAAACTGGTAGAGGTAGCGGAAAAGTTACTCCGCACAAAAAAGCAGAAGAATCAAAGAAGGAGATAGTATGGAAATAATTAATTTATCGCGGATAGTTACGAGGTTATGGGTCTCGGAGTAAAAACTGATACAACCCACCCCACTCTCCCCTATGTATGCCAAAGCGTGGTGGGATTGATAGTGAATCTGTGGAATGGTAGCGCTCAGAAACCAAGTAAGAATTTTAAGATAATTCGAGAAACTTGCCTTTTTTCTACAGTGCGTAAGGGCGCATCCTTCCATCAATGGGCAAATGTTCGCCAGCGATCACACCACTGACCATACGAGTAGGTAGGCCTGTTACTTACCGAGTTATCAGTTGCGCAATAACCATGACTTAGAGACCCAATCTGCGTTCTGGCTACATAGGCCAAGCTCCAGCCCACAACCTGACCACAAGCAGTGAGCAATTCCATGCACGAGCCCCGGTAATGGTTTTGGACCGCCGCCGGTGACACTGTGAAACCGTAGGGTCATCGGGGGGGGGGGGGGGGACTGGGAGGAAGGGGCATCGGATCGACGTTTTTCCCGACATATAAATGATCAAGTGCTTTAGGCAATGGATTTTAATTTGATGGATAGAACGTTGAATGGACTCGAAGATATTGTCGAAGGTTGAAGTGTTACAAACGGTAGGTAAACACCAAAAGACCGAGTGCGAAAAGCGATGATGGAATAATTAAAACTGACGAATTGTTGTCGATCGTTAGCGATCCAAGATCAGCTAGCTACGGCCATGGACCATGGTCTTGTCACGATCGCCGTTCGCTTTCTGACTTGCCAGTTTTATAGCCGTGCCAGAAGTGTGTCTTATTTGCTTTTACCTTGGTTGGCGCGGGCTCTACCCATTTACTTCTTCCATTAGAATTATTAGAAAAAATACTGTAATGAAATATACGAAAGAAAACAAGAAAAGCATGGATAAAATGACGCAATTACATTTTGGCGGGCATTCACTTCGCAAAAAAAACTAAACAAAACGTTTCACCGTCAGGTGAATGCTTTTTAGGTATGCAAAGATGTTCCGTGAATTTAATTCGAAGTTTCACCATGTGGTGATCGTAACTGGGGTGGAATTTCATAGTTACGATGGCCAAAAACTTTGGATAACCAACATCACAGATAACAGTAGCACTATTGTTATCTGTGCCAACATCTGTCACTTACATATTTCTATTGACTACCGTGACACACCAGATCGGCGGTACTTCAGGCACCGGTCGAACTCTTTACTCGTGAGTCCGGCGCCCCTTAGATCGTGAGTCGAGCGCCACGCTGGCTCGTGGATCACCTTTCCGTGCTTCTATCCTCAGGATACCGAAATCCTTCTCCTCCAAGCCGCAACCCCCCTCCGGGCTGGACAGGCAACTTTATCTCATGCGGGCTGCTCCCTTGGAGCGGCACCGCTGCTCCTGAGGGAGCGCACCCCGTAGCCGGGTGCAGTGAGTGCCTTGGGGCTGGGTGGCCTGTCCTCTGGACGGGCTCAGCCCCGGCGACTCACTAGGGTGCCTGCCCAGACCAATGTCTCCCCCTAATTCCTATCATCCTTCCGGCTCTGCAATGGTCTTGTCGACCGAAAGGGCCTAACCCAACAAAACAAAAACTCGTGGATCAAGCTCCGAGTATGCTCATGACTCACGAGCAGGGCGCTATTTGGATTCGTGAGTAGTAGGGTTGTTAAAAAAAAACCGAATTTTGGAAAAGTATACGGGCTCATGGCTCATGTGGTGCGGTATTCTTTTCTAAGTCCAATGATGCCTTTTTTCTGAAAGTATTAACTGTTAGGGGCTCCTCAAACGGCTTAAAGAGGACCATGTTACGCCCGCCGACCGGCCGGTGTCCATAAGGGCGAGAATTCGACGCCGCGCACGGGCGGCAGCGCCTTATCGGCACCGCGCGGCACGACATCTGCCGGGCGGCCGGCCGGGCGGTGGGAAGTTTTAAGTGCGTGGTCTTTATCACGCGGTTGGGGTGCGCTATCCCATGTTTTCGGGGCGGAAAGTTTCAGTGCAGCATCGGTGCGTCTGCCACCGGGTGGTCTGTGTCGATGGTACAGAAAATAAGTCAAACAGAGCTAGAAAAGAGTGAGTGATTCTGGGTAGTTGCCTCGAAGCAATCCTTTTTAAGAATACAGCTGCCTTCTTAACGTACCGTATCACTTGTTAATTCTTCAAAAAGCAAACTCTGAGCAATAACACACCTCTTTGCATTGCTGTTGACAATTTACGTTAGTTTTGGACGGTAGCTCGCACCCCCAATATGCTGCCGCCCAACTTTATTCCAACGGCGAAACGGCAACTTCGCGAGAATCGAAAATTCACGATATACCTACAGCAGGGGCTGGCAATGCAGTATGCACAAGGACATAATTTAGAGGAGACCCGACAGTCATCGGCCCAAGTTTGGAGGTGGCTTTGACGAGCATAGGCGTCACCAATGTCATTATTCAGATACGTTGATATCAGATGCTGGGGCAACAGAATCGACGCCAGGGTTTAACTTAGATTAGCAGGTCGAAAGAAAACATAACATGTCTGGGAATGACAGGGTGGCCACCCTGACAGTGTGACGAAGTGAGACATGAGTAGAGAGAGACATTAGCCGGAGTACCTACTCATATAAATCAAGCGCCGTTTATCCAATCCTTCGAGCATAAGCGACGCCGGCAGTCCGGCCAGGGCGGCCGTGCCCACCGATGCCGATCAAGACCCGAATCCACCAGACCCGGCATAGGACACAGCTCTGCCCTGACGTGACACATTACCCCGGTGTGTCACTCATGACGGATAGACCAATGCAGGAACCTTGCCAGCTCCTGTTATACCTACTTCGTTAAATTTTCGATTCTCGCTAAGTTGCCGTTTCGTCGTTGGAATAGAGTTACGCGGCAGCATATTGGGGCTGCGAGCCACCGTCCAAAAGCAGCTTGAATTCTCAACAGCAATGCAAATAAGTCTGTTATTGCTCAGACTTCAGAGCTTGCTTTTTGAAGAATTGAAAAGTGATACAGTACGTTAAGAAGGCAGCTGTATTATTGAAACGGATTGTTTCGAGGCAACTACCCAGAATCATTCAGTCTTTTCTGAGCTCTGTTTGAGTTATTTTCTGTACCATCGACACAGACCACCCGGTGGCAGACGCACCGATGCTGCACTGAAACTTTCCGCCCCGAAAACATGGGATAGCGCACCCCTATCGCGTGATAGAGACCACCCACTTATAACTTCCCACCGCCCGGCCGGCCGCCCGGCAGATGTCGTGCCGCGCGGTGCCGATAAGGCGCTGCCGCCCGTGCGCGGCGTCGAATTCTCGCCCTTATTGATACCGGCCGGTCGGCGGGCGTAACATGGTCCTCTTTAAGCCGTTTGAGGAGCCCCTAACAGTTAATACTTTTCAGAAAAAAGGGCATCATTGGACTCAGAAAAGAATACCGCACCACATGACCCATGAGCCCATATACTTTTCCAAAATTCGTTTTTTTTGAACAACCCTAGTGAGTAGAGCACCGATTGGACGGTGAGATGAGCGCTGTTCAAACTCATGAGTCCGGCAGAGGGCTCCTCCTAAACACGGGAGCCCAGTCTACCGCCGGGTGGACTCGTGAGCTCCGTGACGGGCTGGACTCGTGAGTCTGACTCTAGCTAAACTCACGTTTCCAGCTAACTCACCTTATAAGTGGTGTCCACCAATTTGGCCACCTCGTCTGTATCCAACTTGTTGGTCGTCATGATGTCGGGTATACCACCGGCTGTCCGGCTCCTTTGCTCACAATTCCTTCTCACCTACACAGCCTACCACCCACCATACGCTCCTAACAGAGCCACTGAGTCAGGTGTCGGTCATTTTACACAACAATCACGCCTTCACAAGCTCACAGGAGCGCGTGGGATAACTTCCAGCGCTCGAGCTCCGCACTCGACTGACGAGCCTCGCCATCCGTCGGAGAGACCCGAGGCCTGAGCCGAAAATGGGCCCGGCCTGCCCTGCCATCTAGTGAGCGGTTTAATAAACTGGCTCGGCCCAGCTCCCTCGCTGTGGCGGTGGCGTGTTTTATTACCCGAGTGAAATAGCAACCAAGGCAAAATCCAAACGGAATGGTGGGATCTGAAACGCGTGAGATCGTCGAGTTACGTCCCTATTGTTTATTCTATACAAATGAGTAAACATTAAGGACAAAACGTTTCACCGTCAGGCGTAATGCCCCGTATTAACTTCAAAATTCAATGAATTTATTTCGAAGTTTAACCATAAAACGCTATGCCCGAGCAAATAACAATCACGTCCGACCGTCATGACATGACTACATGGCTCAGGAGTCCGGAACGGATGGCAGGTCCGGAACCGGGCATACTGGGATTAAAGCTGTGATTGACATGATGGACTGGACATGGCTTACCTTTGTGAAGGCAAGTCTTCTCCAATCCAGATCTGTACCTAAGACACTGAGCAGTGAATATATGTAGTTATCTGTTATTCCCTCAATGGTTCCAGTTTGCTCAAAATGCACCCACTGGCCACCTTGAAGAACTAGCTCGAAAGAAAAGGTTAATAACAACGCCACGTGCTTTTACGCCGTTAAAGTGTATGAAATGTTGATGACCTCTCGAATTTGTGCATTTGCAGTGATTTGTTTGCAGAAATGAGGACACCATACGAAAATGTTTATAATGCTTTCACAGTCATTTCGCCAAATCATTGGCAAACTTTCGTATTTAACGTAGAAAATTCCAAAGCTCGAGTAACATAACATCTTTGCACGTTTAAAATGACTCATAACGAAACGTCTGGATGCTCTATGAGCACTCTGTGCATTTTTGCACTCATTAGCTTCGTGATCATCATTGATCATCGATGTCGTGGTGAGGGAGAACAGAATGTTGCGACGGAGTCGACCACAGAAGCGCAGCAGCCAACAAACACCACAGATTCGTCGTTATCCGTGAGGGATTTTAATCGTTCAAGTTTAAGACACATTGAATGTTCGAAGAGGACTTTGCACACACATCATTACAATCGATTTCTTCCACCAACTATCAATCGTCATATGCTGAACAGGAGTCAGGCGGAATGCAAGGAATTCAAGGAGGAGATACAGCTTCCCCAATGCAGCCTCATGGTCACAAACAAATTGGACCTTCTGCAAATAAAGAAGATCGATGAAGAATTCGGTAGCGTCCGAATGCTGATGATTTTTCGACAATATTGGACGGACACAAGACTGCGTCTACCGCCGGAGTTCACAAACGACTGTCCTAATACATATGAGGTGAACAATGGTACAGCATCGTATGTCCCCGATATAACTACAAGTCACTTGTGGCTGCCAGACACTTTTATTCACGGCATTGAAGAAGTCTACAAACCAGAAATTTTGATGAAGGCACAAACATTCGGAGTTAACGCGAAAGGACGGATAACATTCACGATGTTTGGCGTCTTCAAGTTATCGTGCAACATGAGATTGCACAACTTCCCGATGGATATCCAATACTGCCCAATGTTCTTGGAGAGCTGGCGTCTCACCGAAGATTTCCAAACACTGGTGTGGTCCAAGAACCGGCCCATCGGAATACAAAAAGCCTACAGTCTGGATCAATTCGACCTCCAAGTGCGTGTGCTCGACATCCAAAACGTCAAATACATGACAGGAAACTTCTCCCAGCTAGGCGTTGTACTCATCTTCTCCCGCAAGCTACAGTTCTACATCTTACAGATCTACTTCCCCACTGTGCTGTTCGTCATCATCTCTTGGTTGACGTTCATCATACCTCCGGCATACGCGCAGGGACGCATCATCCTCACCATTACCACTATGCTGACGCTGGCAGCCCTCTTCACGCTCGTCAGTGTCCACTCGCCGGATACATCCTATCTCAAAGCCATCGATATCTGGATGTTTGTCTGTTTGACGTTCGTATTTGCAGCCGTCGTCGACTGTCTAGTAGACATCCGTCTACTCTTCGTTGTCTCACAAACGTATAAAGAAGAAAAACTTGGATTCTTCACACCGATTTCGGTTGCACTTGTGGAAAACAAACGTGTGTTTGCTGACTTCTTCGGAGAGGGACACAAAGAAGAGGAGAGTGAAGATGTTGCTGCTTCAGCTGCCCCATCAGAGTTCTTCGATGTTTCCAGTCGACCTGACGTTACAGCTGCTGGTTCTTCAAGCGCTGGCATGCGATCCATCGTGAAATCAGGCCCCTCGAAGCAGCGCAGTGCTGTTGCCTTGGGTGTCACCTTCGCTCCGGAGCCATCATCAAGCGCAATTTCCACTCCACCAGAGGCTGTCACAACGCAACGAAGGGCGACTCTTGAAGACCGTTTGGATCACAAGGCTGTCGTGTTTGAAAAGCTTTCTCTGATTCTGTATCCGCTAGCGTTTATAGTGTTTAATGTTTGTTATTGGGCCTACTATCTGACGGCTGCGCATCCACCGGAGGATTTGGCAGGTCCGTTGGAGCGCGGGTTCACCCCAGAGCCGATCGTTATGCATTTTCTGGATGAAAGTGAGCTACACTGAGTTAGCTCAGCATGGTCCATTAGTATGTGAAACGTGCTATGAATATGCCAAACATGTTTCGTCTCGGTCTTTGTTGTTTTCCGTGCTGAACGATTTGTAATCGTGTCAATGTGATTGCAACGTTTACAATTTGCATTGTGGCATGAGTGCTTCAGCATGATTCTGTCACCAGTCACCACACCCAAGATTGAAGTTTGTTTGATGACATACATTTCAATGCTTCTACTTATCGTTCACTGTGTGAAATGCGTACTTGTGAAGCATAATGTATGACAGTTTGTATAATCCCACGCCTGTGAACAAGTAATTAAAATGTAAGTACACGACTTCTCAAGGCAATACAAAAGCATCAAGGCTATTATTGTCAGAAAACAGCGAAGTCTAGCCAGTGAGCTCCGATGTTCCGATTTATAACGGGACAGAATAGTGTTGCGTTCACTCACCGAGCACTCGTCGATAACTGCCGCGTCCGTGCGGCGCTGGCCCGCGCGGAGCGGGACGGGGTTGTGACCTCCAGTGCCCCGGGGCAAGGTCAGCTGGCGGTCGGATGATCGTCCGGTCACGCGCAGGGGCGGTCGCGCGCGCACAGTCAGGGGAGGCCGAAGTGTGACCGCCACACACCTCCCTCCCCACTTCCAGCTACATCTTCGTGTAGGTGAGCCGATCAGGCTCGTTGCGGTTTCGCAGCGGGTAGCGGTTCAGCTGCGGCGGGGAGCAGGTCTCAGATTCAGCAGGCTCCTCGGTGGGCTCATCCTCAGCAGCCCTCGGTCCGTGAGAACCGTCCGGTACCGCGCCATGACGCAGGTCTTCCACGGCCAGGTCCACGAACGAGTCCAGGCGGGTCTCGTCAGCCCGACGTGCAGGCGCCGGCGCCGGCAGGACGGGGGCCAGGGTGCCGGCGTCCGAGCTGCAGTCCTCAGAGAGCAGTCGGTCAGGCCTCACTGGACAGGCACGCAGGCGGTCGTGGTGCACGATCATAGACCGCCTCCTGCCGTCTACTTCCCTCACTCGGTAGGTCACTTCGCTCTTCAACTGGAGAACCTCGAACGGTCCTATCCACTTGTTGGACAGCTTCGGACTGACGCCTACCTTCCTGTTCAGGTTTGACACCATGACGAGGTCCCCCGGAGCGTGCTGACTGAACCTGACGGTCTGTTTCTGTCTATAGGCGCGTCTGCTGGACTCCACCTTCTCCTTCACCTCATGGCGCAGCTCGTCCAGTTCTTGGAGGCGTGATGCTATCTGGCTGTCATCTCGGGCGCGACCCGCCGCGAGATCTGTTGGAGTCGTGGCCTCATAGCCGAGCAGCAGCATATGTGGAGTCTGTCCCGTTGTTTCATGTACGCTTGTCCGGTAAGCCGCCATGACCTCCGGGAGCCGTGCATCCCAGTCAGCGTGATTTGTCGACACGTAGGACCGGAGCATGTTGCCGAGTGTTCTCATGAACCGTTCCGCCTGCGGGTTTCCTTGTGGATGATGGGGAGTTGTCCGACTTTTCTGGATGCCGAACCTTGCACACAGCATGCGGAAGAGTTCAGACTCAAACTGCTTCCCTTGGTCTGAGTGGATCTGACGCATGGCGCCGAAGCGACAGATGATCTCATCCATGATGACCTTGCACACGCTCTCGGCGTCCTGACGCTCCATCGGGAACGCTTCCGTCCACTTCGTTTCCTGATCTGTGACAACGAGTATGTACTTGTTACCCCTCCGACTGGGCGAGAATGGTCCGCAGATGTCAACTGACACGAAGTCCCACGGCCGCAGCGGAACAGGCAACGGCTGATGTGGGGCCTTGTCGCGCTGGTCTGGCTGCTTCACCTGGAGACACACCTGACAGGAACGGCACCAGTCGGAGACATCCGCAGTCATCGTGACCCAGAAGAACCGGTCTCTTACCCTATCCAGAGTGCGCCTCCCTCCTTGATGGCCAGACATGGGGTCATCATGCGCCAGCCTCAGCACAGCCGGCACCAGGTGTGCCGGCACGACAACTTGCTCGCGCTCTCGGCCGCGGCACCTGTATCTGTTGATCAGTAGTCCGGCTTCGATCTTCAACGCGTCTCTTCTCCTCCAAAGCCGTCGTGCTCCTTCCGGAGCGGTCTGGGCGAGCCTGCCGATCGCGATGCCGTCCTTGACACAGCGCAGAGCCTCGTCCCGCTCCTGCTCCTCCGGTGTCACCAGAGCCGTGTCTGTCAGACGCACGGCGCTGACCGGCGCACGCGACAGCGCGTCGGCATGGGGAATGGACTTCCCGGCGACGTGTTGGATGTCGAGCTCGAACTCAGACAGCTTCAGAGCCCACCTGGCGAGACGTCCCTTCAGCTTGTTGGAGGTGGAGAGAGCCAGCAGTGGGTTGTGATCCGTTCTGAGCACGCAACGCCTCCCGTAGATGTAGACCCTGAAGTGTTCCACGGCCCAGACCAGTCCAAGACACTCCTTCTCCGTGGTCGAGTAGTTACGTTCGGCCTTTGCCAACACTCGGCTGGCAAACGCGACGGGCCGGCCATTCTGAGACAGGATCGCGGAGATCCCAACATCGGAGGCATCAGTCGTCAGCTCGAAGTCGCTGTCCATCTTGGGATACGCCAGGACTGGCGCAGTCACCAGAACGCCTCTCAGTTGTTGGAACGCACTGTCACACTCTGTAGTCCATCTGAAGCCGTTCTTGAAAGTACGGTCTGCCTTCCTCTCCAACAGTCTCAGCAGCGGCTTGGCCATGTCGGCGTACTTGGGACAGAAGCGCCGATAGTAGGATGTCAGACCGATGAACCTCTGAAGCTCCTCGTGCGATGCTGGCGTCGGGTAGTCGCTTACGGCCTTGAGCTTGTCTGGATCAGGGCGGATGCCGTCCTGGGTCACGAGGTACCCTAGGTAGCGTACCTCCTTCTTGGCGAAACTACACTTCCCCAGCTTCAAGAGCAGATTGGCGTCCGCGAATCTCCCCAGGATGTCGTCCAGTCGTTTCAGGTGCGTGTCGAAGTCCTTCGACCATAGGATGACATCGTCCACGTACGACAGGGTGTATAGCCAGTTCGAGTCCGCCAGAAGCATCTGGAGCGCCATCTGCAGCGTTGCGCCTGAGTTCTTCTGCCCCATGGGCATCCTCAGCCACTCGTAATGGCCGCTGTGGGTCGAGAACGCTGTCTTCTCGATGTCACGCTCGTCCATCTGGAACTGCCAGTATCCGCTGGCCAGGTCCAGTGTGGTGAAGAAGCTGTTGTTCTGCAGACAGTCCAGGGCGTCGTCGATCCGGACCAGCGGGTGTGCGTCGAACTCGGTCACTTTGTTGAGGCCTCGGTAGTCGATGGTGAGCCGACTGCTACCGTCCTTCTTCTTGCACATGACGACGGGCGCGCTCCACGGGCTGTGGCTTCTGCGGATGAGTCCTTTCCGCATTAGGTCCTCACAGAACTCTTCGGTCTTCCGTCGGGTCTCCCAGTCGGTTCTGCGCGGGGGTATCCGGATGGGCAGCTGATGCTGGTCCTTCAGACGTATGCGGTGCTTCACCAGGTCGCACATACCGACCTCTCCCCGTACGGAGAACGCGCCGTTGCGTCGCAGCAGGACCGCCGCCAGGGCACGGCGCTGCTCGTCCGTCACATCCGACTCGGCGACCTTGCTGCGGACCATGTCTTCCAGCTGTCGCTCTCTTGCCTCCCTTTCCTCCCGGCTGAGATCGCTCAGCGGCGAGGCACGCACTGTCGGCGGATCCGCGTAGCCGACACATCGGGCGACAGTGCACGACTTGTACAACTTCACTGCACTTCGACCCGGGTTACACAGCCACAACTGAACAGCGCTGTCTGTCCTGATGACGTCCACAGAGCTCGAGACGCAGAGGCTGTTCCCGTAGCGTAGTGTGAACTTGCTGTCCTCGACCAAGGTGATGTGCTGCCCGGGTGCACATGCAGTGTCGGCCCGCACTCTGCCCGCCAGCAGAACCTCAGACGCCGCGGGGATGGTGACGTCCGCGGTGAGCTCGACTGGGTGTCCGTCGGTAGCCGGTGCACCGGCCGCGGCTGGGCCGCCAGCGTCGCGGCTCTCCATAGCCGCAACTGCAGCTGGGCCGCCGGGTACCACCGCCCTCTCGCCGAGGCTGCGTCCGCCGGTCACACGCCCGTCGGCCGTAGAGTTCTCCGTCAGTCGCATAGTCATGTGCACGAAGTCGAGCGCCACCTCGCCATACAGGGACAAGAAGTCATTACCGAGGACGCATTCGGTGTTCACACTGTCAACAATCAGTACCGTGTGACGCCGCGGCGGCAGGTGACCACACTCGACGGTTGCATCAACAGTCCCCCTCACCTTCAACGGCGTGCCATCAATAGTCACCGGTGCCGATGCAGGGTGCACGAGGGGTCGGAACGCTTTGCACCCTACCGCCGGGCAGCTGCTGGTGACGAACGTGACGTCACTGCCAGTGTCAGCAAGCCACGTGACGCGGACGCCGTCGATGGTGCCCCGGATCAGCGGAGTCGTCCGAGCCACCCTAGAAGAGGCTACTACAGCGGGGACCGAGGGGCGGCGGCTCACATCCTCCTCGGTCCGTTCCCGTTTCCCGACCGCCGGTCTGCTGGGCGTTGGTACGGACAGTCAGAGCGCCAGTGGGAGAGTTCACCGCAGTTGAAGCAGCCCTCCTCCCTCCGACGGCTCGGTGTTCGGCGCCTGTTGGACGAACGGGACGAGCGGTTGTAGTCGCGGCTGGGACGGAATACGCGACATGCCTGCATCTGCTCCTCCAGCATCTGGATCTTGTCGGACAGCGCCGACAGCACCGAAGTCTCGCTGGGCTGAGGTTGAGAGCCGGTACTCCACGCGTCCGACTGTTCTCCTCTCGGGGCACCATGGACGGCCCCACAGATGCGCCGCCTCCCGTTGACGTCTCGATCTGCTCCAGCTTTCTCGCCTCCAGGAGAACCGTCTCTGTCGACCACGTTGGTTGGTAGAACGAAAGTATGTGTTTCCTCGACTTTTCTCCGATGCCCATCAGAAACCGATCCTTCACCAGCCGCTGGCGGTATGTGGCGTCCTCCCACTCGGGGTAGGCGCGAGCACACAACGTTTCCAGATCGTACAGGAACGTCGCCAGTGATTCGCCGGGCCTGCGAATACGCTGATGAAACTCCAGCGCGTACTGAACAGCGAGTCCGGGAGAGTCGAACTCGGCATTCAACTTCTCGCACAGTTTCTTCCAGCTGTTCCTGTCGCCGTCGGAGAGGCGCATCGCGAAGTCGAATGCCCGACCGGTGATCGCCGGGAGCGCCATCACCGCCGTAGTTTCGTCACTGAAATCGCTGGAGGTCTTCTGTTCCGGTTTTGAACTGTCCCAGTTGCAAGCACGGGCAATCACTTCTATCTTGCTGATCCACGTTTTTACATTACCACTGCCGTCAAATTCCGGTAAACGGTAATTCTTCGCCATAGCCATGGCTCCGTTGTAGTTTTCCGCTGCCACCACGTGTTGCGTTCACTCACCGAGCACTCGTCGATAACTGCCGCGTCCGTGCGGCGCTGGCCCGCGCGGAGCGGGACGGGGTTGTGACCTCCAGTGCCCCGGGGCAAGGTCAGCTGGCGGTCGGATGATCGTCCGGTCACGCGCAGGGGCGGTCGCGCGCGCACAGTCAGGGGAGGCCGAAGTGTGACCGCCACAATAGGTTGGTTGTAAATGCCACTCTTCAAACACAGTGTGTTGCCGGGTACCCAACCCACCACCCACCCACTGGTAGGGACATACTCAAGCTCACAGCAGAACTACCATCAGCGGAAAATAACCCGTTTCACCCGTATGCTCTGCAAAAACACAATTGTTTATGCGCCTATCTCAATTTATTGAGGCAACGGAACAAGATCTGTAGGTGTATGTACAGAATTACAGTTTTGGCGGCGCCAAGCCGTCTCCTTTTACAAATACATCAACATTGGGAACAAGAGCACCAAATGGCAGGTGTGGTTGTGCGAAACACCCCCAGGTCCCCATGCCCTCCTTCATACTATGGCTCTTCTCTGCTTTGTCGCGATAAAACCCTTCATGATCCACTGAACCACTCTGCACAAACGGGCGACCGCAGCGCCACCTATATCAGCACCGCAGCGCCACACGCGGCCGTCGCCCGAAACTCCAATACATATTTACACACACCGGGCGACACTAGCTACAGTTATCACAACGTCTAACGGGTTAGTAGCCCAGACAACGGGATCGCACCGAATGAAGGGGAGGGACGGCCACGCTGGCTTTGTACAAATTAGCGGGCTAGGCATCTGCCGGGTTAGCTACAGGACTGCTGAACGCTAAGCGGGCGCAGAACACATGTGGAATGGTTAGAAAAAAAAAACAAACAACAAACGTGACACGACGCACTGCGCGCCGCGCCAGCCGCTGGAATCGGCACGCGGCCCACTGATCCCTCACGAGATATGATTGGAGCGTTAACGCCACCGGCGTAAAATAGCGGCTCGGGCCCGCCCCATCTCCGCGCGTGGCTTTTGCCGTCATTCCCTCATTGGACCCGACTAGACCTCTCAGTCAAATGTGCGCCAACTCTATCGTGGCTTTTATCGCTCAACACATCACTGTCTTTATCCATCCGTAACATCGCATAAAATCACTCTTAGAACGCCCTCACACATTCTTATAGACATTAACAGTCGCGCCCTCCCATCCCTCTCTCTTTTTATTCCTCCCCTCTAGCTGCCTGCGTCGCTCCCCCGCAGCAGACCTCATTAAATCGTATAGAAAGACCTGGCCCACGAATTGGCCATTTTCGCGCCGTTTTTTGGCACTGTGCGGTGTCCCGCACCGCTTCTGTCGTCCCCCTCAGTCCGGCGCGCGAGATTTCGTGGCCGTTGAGCACCATTGGACATCAAATCTCCCATCCTCGCTCCTCACCGTGTCACGTATTACGCGGGAAAGTCCACGTATTACGCGGGAAAATCCAGCCGGTCCCACTGCATGGAAGAGTTGCTGTCCACGCCCCCCATCTTTAAATCGACTCCATCAATCAGAAGCATCTGGAGTGGATCCGCCGCGCTTGGCAGAAGCGGGTCTCGACTGTTGTGCGAATCGCTGTTGGCAGGAAGCCACGTATCCAGCATCTCTTCCATATCGAAATCAGCATCTGGAGGAGGGTGGTAAGAGCTACTCTCCACCGGCTGAACCATCTGTGGCTCCGGTGTGTTGACCTCCCGCTTTAGCTCCGGAGCCGGCTGTAGCTCCATCGCCTCTAGCTCGGCTAGCTCTAGCTCATCGATGGAGCCAAGCTCGGCCAGGTCGGCGAATAAGTCACTGGCGGACTGCGTGCAGGGAGCGGAGACGGAGGCGGCGGCGGGGGTCGGTTCCGGGGCAGCCCGCTGGCCGCCCGACGGCTCGATCGCAGCACTGGGAGGCAGCTCTGTGAAAACGGGAAATAGACGCAGAGTTAGAGGGGGAAATGATCTCTGCAAACGGGAAAAGTACAGAGTTAGAGGGGCGGGTAGGACTCTGAAGCGAGACACATACAGAGTTGAGGGGAGCAGGCCGCATCCAAAGGAGCGGGCAATTTTGGAAAGGGATAGCAGGGTTAGAGGAGCGAACCTCACAGGAACGAACACAGATGAGCAGGGAATCACACACATTTCTACATAGAACACTGAGCCTCCCTTCCACACCATAATATGTCTCCCGTGGGCCATGAATACTCACCTCCGTTCTTGATGAGTATCTCCAGTACATCATCAACGGCCTGACTGCGTGACGAGCGACGAGCCGACTGAAAAGTCAGAAAACGGACGTTAGGCATTATCCAGTGACCGGGATGGTTTGACCAGGCGACTTTGGCCATCATTTGATATCTCCTTGATACATGCAATTCATGAACCTAGCCCCTTTCGGCATAGGCGGCGGAACGGGGGGGGGGGGGCACCGGGGCACCGTGCCCCCCCTTGAATTCTGCAAGGGGGGCACCAATAGCATGGTGCCCCCCTTAAATTTGATGTAGGTATTAGTACTAGGGGCAGATTCGGGGAAAACTCCAAGGGGAGGGCCATGAATCGAAGTGGTGCCCCTACCTATGCCCAAAATTAAAACCTCAACGGATTTCGGCCACTTAATTTTGGTGGTGCCCTATTTTCAGTTTTTTTTTTATTTTCTTTATTTTTGGTTAGTCATGTGATGACTGGTGCCCCTGCACCTGCTAGGCCGCTGATGCCCCTGGAAAGACTGTGGTACCTACTACCTACCTACCCTGCCCCCTGACAAGCCTACAGTGGGCCCTGACATGACTTAAGTGCCCATGGGCCCTGACAGGCCTGTGGTTTCCTTGCTAAGCCTGTGGTGTCCCTGGGCCTTGGCAGGTTTGTGGTGACCCTGTTAGAACGCAGGTGCCCTTGACAGGTTTGTGGTGCCTCTGACAATGCTAAATTGCCAACGACAGGCTTGTGGTGCCCTTGACAGGCCCATGGTGCCCTTGCGAGGCCGGTGGTTCCCCTGCGAATCCGATAGTGCCCCTGGCAGGCCTCTGGTGCCCCTGGCAGGTCTGTGGTGCCCCTGGAAGACCTGTAGTGCTTTTGCTAGACCGATGGTGCTCCTGACAGGCCTGTGGTGCCACTGACAGGCCCGTGGTGCCCCTGCTAGGCCTATGGTACCCCTGGCGGGCCTGTGGTGCCCCTGTCGGCTGTCAGGCCTGTGGTGCTCCTGGCAGGCATGTGGTGACCCCAGGCCCTAAGTCATGACCCATGTGACCTCCACCCTGGGATTCGCCACTGATTAGTACCATGCGATGGCTTCTTGGTAATTTGTTACATGTAGGATTAATGGAATTTATCAAACGAGAATAAGGAAGAGACAAACACATAGGTACTTGGGGATCAGCTTAAAGTTAACCACACATACGGGCAGGGGTGTAATTTTCCTAAAATGATTGTGGGTGCTAGAGCACTTCACGGATAGGCTTTTTAGGATCCGGCCCGGCCCATATCCGGCAAGTCATATCCAGATCCGCCCATTATCCGCCTTTCTTTGAATATCAGAATCCGGCCCACCCATGGCCCGTATTGCAGCCAAACTTCCAAAAAAATATCCGTAATAATCCGTTTCACCAATAACTGGTTTCACCCAAAACTGGACTAACAAATTCAATCTAAGGGACCAGACAGCCATACATCTCACAGACCATCATGGTTCCAAAAACCATGCTTATAAACCTAAAACCACATGAAAATCACCACATTGGTAAACTAGTTATCAATTTTTAACTTCAATGTTGAATGTTAAAATTTTGATCCGTTTTGATCCGGGTTCAACCTTCAATTCCCAAATCCGGCCCGCCCATATCCGTTCTTTTTTTAACAAATTTAGAATCCAATCCTATCCGGTCCGCGGATTTATCCGTGGATAACGGATTTATCCGGCCCATGAAGTGCTCTAGTGGGTGCCCAGCTGTAGGGGCGCCCGGCGCCAGGCCGTTTTGGGGCGCGATAGATATTCTTTATGTGGGAGCCTAAATTAACACCGAATTTGATAACATTGCTAGCCGAATGGCACTTCAAGTGACGTGTCTGACTAAGCAAATACACGCTTAAAAGTGGAAACTGACCGGAAGGACGTAAAATGCTGTAGAGGGCGCCATCCAGTAGGAGGGGCACCAAATGTGGAGGCACCAGACGGTTACGACTTACGAGGGCGCCGTGAGACGATGAAAAGGGCGCCATTCTCTTGGGAGGGCGCCGAGTGATTGAAAACGCTATGTGGTCCAGGGGCGCTAAGAGGCCAGAAGGGCGCCGCACAGTCAGTAGTGCTACGTTGGTGGGGGCGTGGGGACGCCAGATGGTTACGAGGGCGCATTGAGATCATGAAAAGGGCGCCATTCTCGTAAAAGGGTGCCGAGTGATTGAAAACGCTATATGTGGTTCAGGGGCGCTGAGAGGCCAGAAGGGCGCCGAACAGTCGAGGGATGCACGGTGAACAGAGACCTAAGGACGCGAGACGGTCAGGAAGGCGCCGTTAGACCATGAGAATGGCGCGGTGCTGTCAAAAGTGCGCCATTCTCCCAGAAGGGCGCCGAGTGATTAAAAACGCTATATTATCCATGAACGCGAGACGGTCAGGAGGACGCCGTTAGAGCATGCGAAGGGCACCGTACTCTCGAAAGGACGCTTGCAGCCTTGTAAAAGACTTGTGGGTGCATTTTCATCATTGTGTGGGCATACATAATTCAGGATTGTGGGTGCATATGCCCCCACAAAGAGATATAAAATTACACCCCTGCATACGGGGGTGAACTGCCATTTTCGTTTAGTAAAAAATAAAATTTAAAAAAATCATCGTTTCAGGGCTGTGACGAAAAATAAGTGGCCTAAATCCGATGAGAAAACAGGATTTGGGGGTACCCTAGGTTTGGCTACTTGAGCCATGGTGCCCCCCCTTGTCTCAAATCGTTCCGCCGCCTATGCCTTTCGGCATTCTGCTTTCCTTAACATGACAACTTTCACCCAAGAACATGAAAGCTTTCTCTCAAGAATATGACAGCTTTTACTCATTCATCCCCCGGGTCTTATCCTCCCCATTCCTGCCTATCTATCTGAAATCTTCCCTGCCGGGGCTGTTCTCCTCTGTCTACCCAAATCTATAATAAATCAATTACCTTATGGCTGGTGGAGGGTTTGGTGCGCGTCGCCTCGACATAGTCCGGCGGCGGCCGTACAAATCCACCCGGCTCCGTGTACGTCCTGTGAAGGGGCCGGTGAGACTGCTGCTGCTGCTGCTGCTGCTGCTGCTGAGACTGCTGGTCAGCAGGGCTGCCCGACGGCTGCTCCTGCTGACTGGGAGACAGCTGCTGGTGCTGCTGCAGCTGCGTTAGAAGACCTGGAGCGGAAGGGGCGGGAGGGCGTCATGGGGAAGCAAACACAGAGCTTATTTCATCAGTCTTCCGTAACAAAGCAGACCTAGACATCCGGGTGGGAGGCGTCTTATGGGTCGGCACACACGGGCTACATGAAAATGAAATATTGAACTGAGTGAAACTGAATTTTATAGCAACCGACCCATTAACTTTTGAAATACTTTTGAAAATATAGTGTGACAGCATATGAGCGGTGGAATGGTTGATTGTATAACGGAAAAGAGAACATCAAAGACTGTAGGACCATCCGTATGAACTCACCGGCAAAGGTAGGAAGAGAGACAGTCCTCTGATGTGACGTGACATGGTTCTGCTGCTGCAACTGCTGCTGCTGTTGTTGCTGTTGCTGCTGCTGCTGTTGCTGCTGCTGCTGCTGCTGCTGCTGCTGCTGGAGGGTCTGCAGCTGTCTCAGCATCTGCAGCTGGGTCTGCAGCTTCTGCGCCGCCACCTTCTGCTGTAGGTGTTGCTGAAGGAGCAGCCGTTTGGCGTCTGGTGGCGCCTGCCCGGCCGGCGGGGACTGACTCGTCTGCTGCTGGCTGGTGGCCGCCTGCTGCTGCTGACCGCTCTGCAGACGCAGTAGGTTCTGCTGCTGCTGGAGAATGTGCTGGCTCCGCTGCAGCTCCTCTTTCAGTTCCTCCACTCGCCGCCGCTGCTGTTGAATGGCCTCCTCCGTCACTATATGCTGACTGGGGCCCGGGGAGGGGGCCGGCTGGGACGGGGGCGGGGGAGGGGGCGGGGGAGGTGGGGGAGGAGGCGGAGGCGGGGGCGGGGGAGGCGGTGGGGGAGGCGGCGCGGCGTCGAAGACCTCCTCGAGCTCCATGGGCGCGTCGCCCGGAGTCATGGCCACGTCAAAGACGGGCGACACGGGCCCCTCCGAGCCCTGACTGTGACCTGCAAAAAAGCAAAGACAACGCCATCAGATGGAGCATGAGGGCATGCCGGTTACCGAAACCGCAAATAGAGCATCTACATCTAAAGAATGGATCGATATTTTCAAAAGGAAAAAACACTGTCTCGCTAACTAATTTGACTTCATGGCTGCCAAACATTGCCATTAGTAGAGTTGAAATGCACGCACAAAACATGACACAGCCCAAAATTAAAGCCAGGCCTCAGGATGTATGAGTCATCAGCTGATGCTATCAGGATAGTTAGTTTCTATCAAGCCTGCGTTCGACGATGGCCGGCTGTAAGCACTCACCGAAGTCGGCCTGCGACTGGGACGTATCGTCATAGCAGCTGTGTATCGAGCCCACGCTGGCCGGACTGGCAGAGGCAATCGCCATCGATACCACGTCCGGTACAAACTGAAAACGAGAGGGAAGAGCTCGTCAGAACACACAGAATTAGACACAAGGACAATCATGGGCAAAATATAACAGACACTGGCAGGACTGGCCGAGGCGATGACCATTGATACCACGTCCGGGACAATTACTGAAAACAGAGCGGACTTCGTAAGGAAGTCAACAGATAGAAACAGAGACACAGGTAGAAAACAGGGTCCGGCCATGACACACACAAAACAGACTAGCCCCAGTGTAAAAGGCTATTCAGTTCAAACTGAAAATAGTGCCTGGTCTTCGTCAGATAACCGAAAACCACAGACATGACCGCTTCAGCATTATCACATGACCAGTCCTGACGCCCATGCGACATGAACGACATGGACTATTTCGACAGCTATAATTAGTACCTGGACGGTTTGCTGTTGCTGTTGCTGTTGCTGCTGCTGCTGCTGCTGCTGCTGCTGAGCTTGTTCTTGTTGTTGCTGTTGTTGCTGTGACTGCTGCTGTTGCTGTTGTTGCTGAAGGGGCTGCGACACAACCGACTGAAGATGTACCTTCACCTGTGAAGAGCATTTCCTTCAGTATTTCCTTCAGCATTTCCTTCAGTACACAACGATTAGCAGTGATGACACGAAACGATGAGAAGCTGTCAGGATTCTAGTGTTCATTCACTACCTTGCTATCGCAGCAGTAGCATGCATACTGACGCCTGACGGAGATTCGAAACATCCCCACACTATTAACCCTGTTGCCATAATTGCAGCCTTTACGTTGAGCGTTGAAGGAGATAGAAGTTCCGTACTCAAACAAACTTTCTTTTGGCTATGGGCTACACTGTAAAATGTGCATATGCTAGTATGATCTAGCGTTTCTCGCGTAACCGAAGTTTGGCCAATGTGTCTCCATATGCCCTGTGCATAGCGTGCCAGACGAATACGACCATGACCTCTGTGTGACCTCTGGTGGCCTGATACTGACCTGTCCATCGGCCACCTGCAGTTGTCCCGTATCCAGGATCAGTCGGCTGACCCCCGCCGGAACGGTAGCCATTGAGATCGGGATGCTTACCTACGCACACACAGCAAAAGTAAGGTTAGATATCTATCCAAACCGTTAGCTACGTGAAGCAGGGTATAGTGTCGTCCAGCCAACCATCACATTCAGGGTCAATATCGTCAACTTGGCAACCATTCGTACATCGTACGTATTAACCGTTGAATATGGTCAAGGTGACTACTGCACACAAAGGGGTTCAGTATCGTCCCTCTATCTACCACATACGAGTAAACTACAGGGTTCAAATACCGTCTACCATACAGCAGCTACATATAAACAATCGGTAAACCACTTTCAACCTGACTACTCACGCCCAGACCCAACTATGCTTCCCAAACCTACACGCCTGGGCGGCTCAGCTGTACCTCAATAGCGACAGAGGAACTAAAAAGCAACAACAACGAAAAACTCCCAACCCCTCCACTTACCGTGGTCACAGTGGAGCACGGCACAACCGCCGCGGGCACTGCCGAGGGGCTGGCCGTAGCCGATCGTACGGCCGGTGACTGTGCGCGGCTCGATGACGCAGAGATCTGGTCCACGAACGGCTTCAGTCGCTCAATCAGCTGTGGCTTGCTGCCAGACACGGGCAGGTTGCGCTTCTTGAGCTCGACGCGCAGGTCGGAAACTGTGGGGAGGAGACGGGGAGGGGGTCAGTTACACATTCGAAACACATTACACATTCGGGGTCGTACATTCGGAAAGAACGGGGCCGGATGTGTAGCGGTCGGGAAGACAGCGAGAAGACTGAAGAAAATGGCGATCTTCAAAATGAGCAGCATTCAACCAATAATGTTTTAAATATGGACGCAGTGTGGCCAAATTGGTTTAGCGTTACGGGGAGGATGTATAAAAAAGTCGTATGAGGATGTCACTATTAAAAAAAAAAAACTCGTCTTCAGTGTCATTTAAGGTGCAGTTTTTACAAGTTATGTGGAAAACTATACCTGACGACAAGCTCTGGTGGAAAGTAAAAAAAGTCAAATATTGTCATCAAAGATGTAAAAAAAAAAAAAAAACACTGCAAGCGCGACAGTACGAGTATGACGGTGCGAATCGTACATTGGAACATTTTTAGTCTTTATTCCTACACTAGGTATACTTTCACAACAAAAGCGTTGTGATGACGTAATTTTCAAATTTCTGAGGATGTCATTATACTTTTCATTGGGGGTGACTTTCCCCGCAACATCACCAATTTGGCCACACTGTATGGACGCTAGACAGGGTTTCAGCAGAGATTCAGCGGAGATGGACGACCCCTTCTGTTGGAAATCGGTGAGGCAAGGATCCGATGAAAGAGACAAAATCTGCAATATGAAAAAACTTGAAGACACAAATGCCTGAAGTAAAAGGAAGGTGAAAAAGATGATATGGTCGAAAGACCACCACAACATGAGCAATATGGAAAACTTGAAGACACAAATGCCTGAAGTAATAGCCAAGAGGAAGGAAAAAAGAGCATATGGTCAAAAGACCACCAATACCCCCACAGATACACACGAAAACTCAGAAGCGCCACTCACCCTTCATCTCCTCCAGTTTAGCGAATCTCGGGTCGCTGGGCGGCGGTGGCGGTGGCGGCGGCGGCGGTGGAGAAGGTGCCGCCCCGGCTACCGAGGCCGTCTGGCTGACTGTGGTGGTCGTGGACGAACCCGTGGCGGAGCTGATGGGCTTCTGTGACGCCGGGAGGATTATCTGGGGGTACTGAACGACGGGGCGTGCCACAGTCGTTAGTCAGTGAAACGTATAGACGCAGAAGAGTATGGGAAACACCTTTCAATCAATGTGACCATCCACAGGGGTTATCCGCAATATCACTCAATGGATTCATGGCCAGAAAGTGACAAATAGCAAACAGTCAACAGTATTACACGCCACACTGTATGAATCTGAAAACATCGGCTTTCACCTAAAGCCTCTGTACTTTGCCTCTATTGCTTCTTTTATCATCCCTCCATCAGCCTCGTTCTTCTCTCCATCCTATCACCTACCTTGTGCTGCCACTCGAGCTGCTACTGTAGGAACAGCTGCTGAATTACCCCCCTCACCCCTCTCCCCGTCCTATCACCTACCTTGTGCTACCACTCGAGCTGCCACTGGAGGAACAGCTGCTGAAATAACCCCCTCACCTCTTTCCCAATCCTATGCACTTTCCCTAGTCTCTACCATTTACCTACCTACCTTGTGCTGCCACTCGAGCTGCCACTGCAGGAACAGCTGCTGAGGTACCTCCTCACTCCTCTCCCCATCCTATACACTCCCCCTATTCTCTACCCTATCACCTACCTTGTGCTGCCACTCGAGCTGCCACTGCAGGAACAGCTGCTGCTGCTGAAGGAGCAATCCCTAACCCCCTCCTCTATCCTCTCTCTCCCTCTCGCTCTCGCTCTCTCTCGCTCTCTCTCTCTCCCACTCTCTCTCTCTCTCTCTCTCTCTCTCTCTCTCTCTCTCTCTCTCTCTCTCTCTCTCTCTCTCTCTCTCTCTCTCTCTCTCCCTCTCTCTCCGTTCTAATCCTACCTTGTGCTGCCACTCGAGCTGCCACTGCAGGAACAGCTGCTGCTGCTGAAGGAGCAGCTCGTACGAACTCTCCCCGTCGGCAGCCGTGGGTAGGGACTGAGAGGCCTTGGTGGCGTTCGGCGGACCCTGGAGACACACGGGACGACGATGATGTTAGTGAAAGAGCTAGCTGGGCGAGAAGTCGTAGCCCACAAGACAGGGCAGTGATCGACTAAAAGGCGCATTCAAATAAGAGCATGACAGATAACTGATAAGCCTGTGCCATGATGATAGCAAAACTCGTTTGGGTTTAGGGGCGAAATAACAACTAAATTAGACAGCGCTCTCAGGTTAGAGAGTAAATAGCTTGTCATGACAAAAAGTCAACGATGAAGCTACCGTCGCCATCCCAGTATTTTTCTTTTTTACGTTACAAATTCGTGACACTGCGACATAACAAAATGAGGCTAAGATACGGCATCTACAGGATCTCATGACAAAAAGTCACCGTTAATAATTCAAAGCAGCACATCTCCACCACAATTTTTATCCTCCACCTACCTTATACTCATGGAACTTGATAGTCTTAGCCTTGGGCGTCATCTTCGTCGACTTTTTCTTCTTCTTGTGGTGGAGTTCCTTCCCGGGCGCCTCGGACCGCTGTGGGGGCGTACCCAGGTGGGAGAGAACTGAGGCCGGTCGGGCCGAGAGGATGGACGCACCGGCCACACTCGGTCCTGTGGGAGGGAGAGGGGGAGTTAGTGCCACGCCTACTACCTCTACCTCTTACCTCTACGCCTACTACCTCTTAGTAGAGGTGGCAAAATGTGGACCCGGCGAGGACCCGGTCCAAAGAACCAGTGTGGACCCATATGGGTCCAGACCGGTTCCTGTAAATTTTCTGACGGGTCCAACCGGGTCCTACCATAAGCCATACATATTGCACACTACACATGATTGCAAAATATGAAGTGAATGGAAAGAAAACATTTGCTCATGTATGTTTCTTTGCATACTAGCTCATGAGTACTCCCTGTGGGAAAAGGCTGTTTTACATGGTGCACCTAATGATACCTACAAATAGTTTGTATTAATTGACGTTTGAGGAGCGGGTCCAACTGGTTCCGATTCCAACTTAGACCGGGTCCGACTGGTTCCAGAAATGTCCAGTCGGGTCTGGTTCGAGTCTGGTTCCCAAAATTTTCACCTTTTGCCACCTCTACCGCTTAGGTGGGGGCTAGGTGGTAGCTAGTAGGTAATCTATGAGAACACTAATCTCGCCGACGAAGAGATAATTCTAGAGGAGAGACAATGCCTGCGTTAGATGATGGGAGTCAAACAAGCGTCGTCAAGCTAAAGCTTGAATTAATAAAGGATAACGAAGTGAAAAGGGATAGCATGAATTACTTCTTGACGTCATCAATTCTCCTAGCTATTTCCATTTGGACATCGGTTCCAACCAAAACGTCAAAGTAAGCGTAACATTGTTGCCCTGACATGTCCATCCCTCCATTGCACTTCCCACAACCCACTCCCCACAAACCCAACTCACCGGGGCTGATGGTTCCAATCGACTGCGGGCTGCTGACGCTGCTCAGCGGGCTCAGAGTGCTCACACTGCTCCCAGCGCTGGGTGAGATAGCCGACACGGGCGGCGGGGGCGGCGGCGGCGGCGGGGGAGGTTTGGGAGGAGGCGCCGCAGGGGACTGGGGCGGCGCGCCGCCGTCCGGACTGCCCGCGTCTGAACTCGAGTCGTCCTCTGTGCGGAAGAAGGCGGCGGCCGGCTTTCGACGCGCTTCGCCCTGGGAGGTGGGACGGAAGTCGATAGCGCCCTCTGTTGGTAAAGAAAGGGGTCAGGTCAGTCAGGTCAGGTCACAGTAGGGACCAACCATACATGAAAACATGTCGACTCACCCATGGTAAACTATCAGGTGGGATAAAATAACAGTAAAACAAATTTCGCTTTATTACTCAAAGGGCGAGTCGCGCAATTATTGGTTCAAAACACAAAGCAGAACGAGACAATATTCGCTAAAAGATACAAATCCCACACAATCCCTCAACTCGACGCGAACGGTGCTGGCGTGGCGATGATTTCGTTTTAAAATCACATTAATTGGTAATACCTATGGTCACTTTGAGCTCCCTCATCATATATAGCTTTGCGTATTGTTTGTACGTACTGTGTCCACCCTTTTCCACCCGTACCCACCTTTGACAGCCTTCTCAACCGTCTCATCCGTGTGCAGGATATTGGCCTTGATGAGCTCCAGAACACCCGGTCGATGGGACAGCTGAACATTCAGAGCATCCGCGAGCCTAGCCTTCTTCAGCTGTCGCTGCTTCTCCACCAGAGCCGGGTGCACGTTGCCAGTGTCTTCGAGAATGTGCTGACGCACTAGCTCCTGACGGTCTGGCCTGCGCTGGATCTTGGCCTTGAGGAGGTCGCCCGTCTTGGCTCGCTCCAGTCGCTGGCGTTGTTCGTAGAGTGCCGGTGATGCCTTCAATGCTGTTCGGGAAAGGGGAATTCGAGTCAGAGCAGACTAGGTGACAAAAGATTCAGAAAAACATAAGTGTGTGCTGTAGGGAAGGGGCGAGGGGGGGGGGGGGCGGGTGCGGGGAGGTTAAGTAAACGCTTCATAATCACAGCAAAGGCTTCAGAATCAGATGCTTCTCCTTACAGTCCTACATCCCACAAAATACTGGAGATTGGAGAATGTTTCTTTTTAGCGTGTGATGTCTTTTCATGTAAAATCCAGCCTAAAAGAAACGATTGTGCACGGGCCATCTCTTGGCGAAGTGACTGGGTAGTCTAACAGCTAATTCACATGGTTCTTGTCCAAGATTTTATCCCACATATGTGGGTCACATCAATTGAGGTCGGAGATGAGCATCCATCTCAACTCAGATCGTCTTTAAACAACGATAAATGATCCATAACGGTATGAATCGACTACACAGAACCAGAACAAGCTATCTGTAATCTGACCCCATGTTTCTCCTCGCATCGCATAGCATCCTGCTTTCATGTTCGAGTGCCCCCAACAATGACTATAATGTTTTAATAAACAAAATACAGATGACTATCGTTATAAATGGAGACGATTCACGTCGTTCGTAATTCGAAACTTGCAGCTTATCTGCTGAGGCTTTTTCGTCCGCTCACTCGCAGCCTGTTAACATCCCAAAGAAATTGAGCTATTCGTAAGCAACCGTGCTTGTCTTGTGGGCTTAGAAGGCAGCCTATGAAAAGTGATATCTGAGATTCATTTATTCGTGTGGTAGACATCGCAAATGCCAATTGGCACTGGCGGATCACGGATGAATATTTTTTTCTCGTAATAATATGCACATTGTACTGCAAACATCACGTGTTCCTATATCGACTCCTACAGGCCACATCTCGCCTGAGATGTTCGCCAAACCACCAGTACAGTCCCACCCGTCCTGTCTCCTTCAGTACCGTGACAGCGCAATGTACCGTTTTTCCACCACCGGCCACCGCTGAGTAAGATAAAGTAGCGAGAGTTCATCGGAGACAGAGAAAGGGTGCGCGGCGTCAGGACAGAGGAACGGGAGGAGCCAGGGGTCAGAGGTGACGCCCCGTCTCTGGCGCACGCGCGGTATGCCCGGGGGGCATGTATGAGTCACCGGGCGTTTTAAGATGCGAAGACAGTAGCTCAGCGCGTGGCAGGATGTCTTTCTTACATCGATCAAACTCGGGTGATGAGCTAGGCAGGGCTGCGGAGTCAGAGTCGGAGTCGGAGTTCGTAGGAGTCGACAGTTCTGACCGGGGTCGGAGTTTATTTTTTGAAGCCAGAGTCCGAGTCGGAGTCGAAGTCACCGAAAATCCATAACTCCGCAGCCCTAGAGCTAGGAAACTCAAGAGTTACCTGAGTTTTGGCCAGGCGTCAAGATTCACTGAGCGTTTTGAGGTTCAGATCTCTGAACAAAGTGGTACTAATGAATGTTTCTACCCTGCTAACAAGACGCGAATGGCGAGTCATCACCTCAAAAGCGCGTTTCGCATATGACACATCCCAGGTCACGGTCAGGTCACAGACCATCCGCACCCTTCTCCAGCATGAACCAGTTCTCTCTCCATGTGAGGAACTGCCTTAGATTGCACGGCTATAACACCATGACACGGTGCTTGTCCTTGCTATGATGAAGCACCTATAGCTTGCAGTCCACCCTGCTACGGGACCTGCAGTCTGTTATGGCTGTGTTAGGTAGCTATTCAGCAGAGGAGCGAAGGGCGGTTGGGACAGGAAGACACCCACGCAAGTCGTCAGGCAGGATGGAGACCGGTGACCGCCCACACAACATTGGGCGACTCGTCCCACGCTGGGTCTGGGTTCGTTAGAGAGTACGAAGGAGGGCGCCACTTCTCCATGACAGCCGCCCGGGGGAGGTGGTATAATATACGGCTGACGAAAGTTGGCAATGCTTGGGAACAGATCCGAGCAGGTCGAAGTTTGAAATTGATGAAGTTGGCCAAACTTGGTTCATGCCAGAGCTGTAATGTTTTCCAAGCTCTAAAGCCCCATGATTCCCAAGCAAGACAACACTAGCGTAAAGGGAGGGCGATGAGAGAATCCTGTGATCCAACGACGAGCATTTCTATACTTACATGGTAAAATGCCCTGATCCACCAGTTGGTTCATGGGTCTCCTGGTCATCAATTTGACCTTCAGAGCTGTGGGCGACATGAGGAGCGGGGTCACGAAACAAATCAACAACGAGACACGGGGAACGAAAAAAAAACACACAGTGCAGTACACTTAACTAACCCGAATTGTGCAAACTTGATTAAAAGTATTAGTTTTTTCAAATACAGGTTTACAGTAAAGCACTAGACTGGTGCAAGAAAGGATATAAAGTTGCATGACAAAATATTGGACACAATGGTCATAAATATTGGTGAAAAGAATAAACCGTATGAATGCATGGACGATAAATCATTACACTTAGAATACGCTGAAAACCTCACGACCAACAAACGTGACAGAAATTGCGCAATAAACGTGACTTAAACCGACAGAGGACATGATATATTCGACAGCACTTTACATAGGTAATACTATAAATCAAAACCGAGCTCCCGAAGCCTAGACACTGATCTATTTCCAGTCATTAGTATTCAATACAGCGCGATCGACTAAATCCACCCATCTCGATGGTCCCATCACGTTTTCGCCATCCATGAACTTTGATTTATACGGGCCAGCTATACGCTCACGCACAGACAAACGCAGCAGGTTAAACCCAACGCATGTCTACTCGAGAAAGAATGTTGTGCCAAGTTCGGATACCCAATTAAAGCACTTGATCAGATCAAACAACTAACGGAATAGAAGATGGCATCGGCCAATGTAAATCTTTTAGGGGTCAATGGGGATAGCATCAGAATAGAAACTAAAACAAACGACGAAAATAAATGGACCAAGTCACTGGTAAATTATCTCACTGGGCTTGACACGACCTGGACCTGTTCAGATTAATACAGTAAAATAGGTAACCTACCGCATTGGGAACATGTAACACATGAGTAACGACTGAGTATGATAAATACACAGGCACGATAAAAGGAGCGGACAGAGAAAGAGAGAAAGAGAAAGAGAAAGAGAGAGAGAGAGAGAGAGAGAGAGAGAGAGAGAGAGAGAGAGAGAGAGAGAGAGAGAGAGAGAGAGAGAGAGAGAGAGAGAGAGAGAGAAAGAGCGAGAGAGAGAGAGAGAGAGAGAGAGAGAGAGAGAGAGAGAGAGAGAGAGAGAGAGAGAGAGAGAGAGAGAGAGAGAGAGAGAGAGAGAGAGAGAGAGAGAGAGAGAGAGAGAGAGAGAGAGAGAGATCCTACATACCAGTCAACTAACCCACCACTCACAAAAGTATACACACTTCATCCAAGACTCCACAGTAAGGATCCCCTACCCCTTCTCGCTGTGGCAATGTGCCATGACTTTTGCCTACTCACACTCTTTATTTCGATCCATCTGTTTCTGCAGCGGCGACTCATCCACCTCTGCCTGCGGCGGCGAGAGGGGGATGATGGGGGGCGGGGAGCCCCCTCCCTCAGCCATGTCGAGCTGTTCAAAGTCGAAATTCTGCCGGCAGAGAGGGGGACAGAGTGGTCAGTAGAGGTTATAAACGGGGGAGAGGGGAGAACGAGGCCAAGGGCCAGGGAAGGGATGGGAGGAGGAGCATCAATAGATGTTACATTACGCATAACTTGCTGGGGTTGGCATAAAATGAAAACAATGGTGAAACAAAGGGAAATCATGTTTAGTCCACTTTGGTCACAAACAACATTTACAAAAAGCACAGCGCATGATAGATCACCAACACTTCATAAGCTACAATTGAACTGATGAGCGGTTCATTCTTCCGTCAGGGTCAGGTCATAGAGCCTACGCCTTGAAAAGTGTTGTAAGATATTTTTCAGAACTGGGAAGAGCTGCACTAGAAACGTGTTCCTGACAATCCAAAATTTTCCGCTGTATCCCAATTCCCACCCACCCCACCTCGCCCCAAAACGAACACAGGGCACAACGCCTCTGACAACGGCCTGGACAATGGATCTGCAGCACGTCCCTATTCAGCATCTCCACACAGCATGGCAACTCAGCCACGTCACAAACCAACCAACCAGCCTGAAGAAGTTTTCATCGGCGCCTGTCCCGGGTTAGCCCGGATGGGTATGGGCGGGGTCCTTATCAGCTGGGCCATCAGGCCACAGACGTAAGTGACGCAGGCGAAAGCCGGGCAGAAACGAGCCAAAGAGAACGAGTTGAATACTGAGCGCCGAGCGTCTGAGTAAATGGTACTCGTACGGTATTTATCAGGTCACCAGTGCACTGGAACTACAGTTACGCACTACATATTACGGACAAGAGTACCACGGCTGCTGCCGAGAGCGCACACACCAAATAATAAGCAGACAACAATTTTATAGCTATCCAACGCATAAGGATTTGTGTAAAAAGCAAATGAAAATGCTCACAAATACCTACATTCGAAAAGGATCATAATGACGGCAATAAGGATACATTTTTTTTGCACGAAATACACACTTGTCACCGAGTGAAACCCACCCAAGGAATCTATGCAAAGTTGGAGCATAGCCCAACAACAACACAGCCTAAAGAAACGGTCTTAACAAAACAATACTGGCAGAGGAATTCCATGACCCGAGCCAAGTTATCCGTACAGACACTACCCAACAACCGCACAGAGACCGTCCCTGGCAACCATTTGGGTCAGCAACACGCTGTAATTTAATAACCCATACATTGAGCGCATTGAGAATGAAATAACACATCAGTTTTACCGCCTAGGCAGGGCTACATTTGCATTCAGGCCGAACGTTCATACCGATCACGTAGATAGGGCAATAACAATGGGGAACTTGGTGCAAAATATGAGCGTGGCGTAACCATTTCCAACACTGTTTACCTCGGTATTACATGCTTGACGGTGACACTACGCTCGTATTCACATAGCCCAGTCTAGCTAGAGCAAACGCCGCCTCCTTCCAACCAACAAAACCAGTGCCAAAATCTCGCCAGGGACTGGTGTCTAGCGTGACCTGATGGGCGCGCCAGATAGGTCTCCCACGCGCCACCGTATGTCGCTAACAGATCGAACGGCGCGAAGACAGTCGTCTATCAGGAGTATAAAAAACAAACAGCGAGAGGCGAGAAGGTCAATAAAAGGATAAATGAAAGTCGACACGATGTTAGGGGTGAATTTAAAGGAGTGAACAGGGAACGGCACGGGTAATTTGTGCTTTGCCCCATATTTGCAAGACCTGCACGCACGTTACTTTATTACCACTATTTGTTTCATTAGGCAAATGTTCATTACAGTCATTAAATGTTCATTACACATCAATAGATGATTAGGAATATCACAATGACACTGAACGCGTTTGGGCAATGCTGTCTGTTTCCGGGCAGATCAGCCAATAGTCCCGTCGAACAACATACTTCAGGTCAACCAGAGGTCCAATTCGGGACACCAAAGGTATTTATACTCGTCTCTGATTGGCTGCCGAGTCGATGACGTCAGCGTTAGAGAGATGACTGGGTCGCTCGAGCAGGGGAGGGGTTTGGCACTGTGCCGGAGAGGGGGAGGGGGAGTCGGGGCCAGCTGCCAACACTTCGCTGGCGGTCAGGAGCTGCCATGACTCCACAGGGGGAACCACACAGGAGTTCATGGCACAAGAACAGCTGTTTAACAGACGGAGTCATTTGAGTCAACGCCGTAACAGTTATGTCACGCGCTGGACGCCGGCCAACATTCCCGAGTCAGAGTCAACAGATAAAACGGAGCATGTGGTGGTGTTGTTATAGGCGAGTCATAGGAGTTATGGGGTGAGTCATCTGAGTCATAGCTTACGTCGGAGACGGCTGAATCGAGTCAGATTAAATGAGTTAAGGGATTGAAAGTAAACCTAGCCAAGCAAGCCGTACGGGTACGCGTTCCAGAGTAAATTTAACGTGGGATCCATCGGTCAACTTAACCATAAATCCATGCTTCACGAACCCATACCTGTCAAGACGAGAGCACACCTCACCTCACGAGTTAAAAAATCACCCCGAACCAATCTGGATAGAGTGATGGTATGGTGAGCGGTAAGCAGCCTGTATTCTCACTTTAAGGTGAGCAGCAGTCAGCAGGTATAAGGTACCCTGAACCACTCTGGGTACAGTAAATACATGCGGCCACTGAGCAGCGGCCTGTGTTCTCGCTCTAGGTAGGAAACCACCCTGAACCAGCAGCAAGTATAAGGCACTCACCCTGGACCACTCTGGATAGAGTGACGATGTGGTCACTGGGCATCGGTCTGTGTTCTCGTTCTAGGCTAGTACTCACCCTGAACCACTCTGGATAGAGTGACGATGTCATGAGTACTGATCAGCCCGTGTTCTCAACCTATAAGGTGAGCAGCAGGTATAAGGCACTCACCCTGGACCACTCTGGATAGAGTGACGATATGGTCACTGGGCAGCGACCTGTGTTCTCGTTCTAGGTAAGCACTCACCCTGAACCACTCTGGATAGAGTGACGATATGGTGACCAACAGGTCCGGGTCGAGCTGCACGCCCCAGTACCAGAACTCGCGGTTGTTGCTGATTATCCTCAGTCCCGACTCTGAAACCACAGAGAAAGCACACGTCAGGAGGGGGCGATTAGCGGGGGATGGGGGCGTGGTGCAGGGGTGCGTATTGGGGCCAGTTTTTCTAGCTGACATTTTCCCACACAGTTTGATGTCGAAAGGAAACGTTGATAGAAATATAAAAAAGGAAACATAACCGCTGCAAGACAAGCCGCTGCAAGCACAAAAACATTCAGTTAATTTAGTTCGTCCAGTTCAGTAAGTAACGAGCATCAGTAAGTTACTTGTTAGTGAGAAAAACTCATTGAATGAAACGACTACATAAGACCGCGATTCAAACCTCTGAAGACCGGCATAAAAACGCCTCTCCCGGATGCCACTAACAGGGCGTTCCTAACCACCAGCAGACAACACAACCACCAGCCAATTTATTTATCTCTCCCACAACAGAACCGCAGAAGAATGCCTCCTTTCAGGATGGTTCGCCCAAATATGCTGCTACCACAGCAAAGCTCGTCCTGGCCAATAGAGGTTTGACCTCGACTCTATCGCGGCACGAGCCGACCAGAACGGAAGCCCAAACTACATACCACCACCCCCTCCCTCCCCAAATTCCGCACCCCGTCCCCCTCCCCGAATACCGGGCGAGTTTTGGCGCGGAACGGGACTACATCACACTACCTTATTGTTGGGTCTCGGGGCTACACAGTACACGGTGCCCCGCATAGTGGGATCGGTGGGCAGATATTTTAAATGCACATCCTCGCAAAACGGGTGCCGATGTTTATGTTTTAGAGAAAACAGTTTTCAGTTTCCAGAAGTCAGAGCAAGAGCGTGAACTAGCCTCACATACGATCTACATAACTACATCTGAAGGATGACGTAACTGCATTTTTGCGATGCCATCTTCTATAAAAAACTACGACTTGGTTACAGATGTCCATCACAACTCCACGCTTCATTATCGCTCAATCAGACGCCCTAGCCTCATTCACCTAACCGAACAGCAAATGCCCACCCTCATGGCATGTGTATCTCCACGCACCTTGAGGCCCTACGGTTTCCACACTCCCCAAAGACGGACGTCAGTTTACTCGGTAATATCCATTCACTACTAGTGGCAGTCCTCTATTATCCCCACACATCTCAGAGTCAGAAGTGATTACTTATGAAGATGGACAGGCGATGTCAGGTACCATATGGATCCACATTCCAACCAGCAGCGATTGGCCCACTGAGAGAACTATCAGTGAGTGATTCCTTGTAACAATGACGTATTGGTTATGGCCCGATAGCCGTGAAGGTACAAATGAGATAAGTTCTAGTGCTGAAGATACATTGTGACAGCGTACGAGCATGACGGCGTTTTATGAATGGAAGATACGCAGTTGCTGTCGCACTCATGCGAAGGCTAGTGCACATCGGGAGCTGCCATGAAGACTGGCGACAGCAAAAGTGGGATAAAAGGATGCCAAATGAAAAGTATCAAAGTAAACAGCTGATTAAACACACAACTGGAGCCCACTTAGTTTCACAGCGATCTGTAGGCCTATGGCTAGAGGACCACACTAACTAGTTATTCACTGCGCAGAACGCTGCGTCTCTGGAGGGCGGCAGCATACAGATATTAAAAGCACCTCTCTAAACAATAGAGCGCCACACGCAGATCCATCAGCGCACGTCCTCCATCCTCCCTCTGTCACTCTCTCTCTGTCAGGTCCCCTCTAGACCTCCCTGATCTCAACCTCAGACAGCTCGCCGCCCGCAGCGCACCTCCATTGTGAAACGCGACAAACTTGACGCGCGCGCGCGCCAGACTGATAGAATCTCAACGCAGTGCGGCGACGACCTCCACCGTGCGTCAGGTCAGGTGAGTCTCCATGGGGCGCCTCTTGGCTCGGTCAGGTCGGTCAGGACGTAACGCACGTCGGGCGACAGAGCACATTGTGGGTGGTGGGGACCTCTGAGCGATGACCTAGTGCGGGCTCCATCAGACGCATCTTTTGGTCATTAGAAAGGTTAGTAAATGGCTACATGCCGCGGTCTGTAAGGAGGGCCATACATCAGAACAAGACGCAAGGGAGGTAGGGAAAGAGGGAGGGGAGGGAGAGGGGGAGAGAGGGAGGCACATAGCTGATGAAAAATTACGCCGCCATGTGGGTTTCCAAACAGGCGGTCGATGGCATTACAGTCAGCATTAGCCGATTATGGGTATGGTCAAGATCATAAGTGTTGGATGCGAATTTCCTCCCCAAATACCACATGCCTGCTTCACAATATGTATTTCATTCCATTAGGTATGATGAATCCTGAATCGAACAGCTAACCCCGGTCTGCCCAGCCAAGCAGCTCAACAAGTGCCACTCATACAGCCCCGCCCAGACACTAAGCCAGTCAGCCGGTGCCTTTCGCCCTGTTGCACGCACGTGCCAGAACAGCTGACTTGGGCGGCGGTGGGTAGGCCGGAGGGGGGGGGGGGAGCAAGTGGCGGAGAGCAAGTGAGACTCACGGAATAGTTGTGTAACGGTTACCAAGCAAGACTCACGAGAAGGCCTTCGGCGGTTGCTAACCGAGACTCACGGGATAGGGTATGGCGATAGCCAGGCGAGAAACACGGAATAAAGTAAGGCAGCGGCTCTGGTCACGCAGCCTAAGCGACGACCTTCGCATGGCTGTAAACAACACCTCAAAGACAACTCGGGATTCCCACCACATTGGTCGAGAGAATATTACCAAGGATTCCAGACTATTCCAGAATAACTCTCGGGTATAGCCGTGAGAATGACGAGTGACTAGACTACGATGACAGGACCAGGTGGAGGGTGGATAGACAGACAGGGAAACAGACAAGGTTTCTGCTAGAACGTATACAACGTTTCCTGTCATTCGCTTGTAGACGTGGCGGAATAACTCACAAGCTACAACGCCGCATGTCAGCAGCTTAGTAACACGGTAGCCACCGCATTTGATTGAGCAACAATCCAAAGCTCGAGGGTGTGTGTGCCTGTAAGGCCGTCAAGAGTTGAGAAGAATCGACAGCTACAAATGCCCACAAACGTGCAAACATGTCCATATCTACATGATGCGAGCATATGGAAAGCAAGATGCAAGAACATAACAGCGAAAGCCAGATGCGCTATTCCAAACGGCGTAACCCAGGAGCGCCAGCCACGCTTCGAGCTTTTCATCTAGCGCTATCTCACGACCTCACATCATATCTCTCTTGGAACGGGAAGCAGGCGGGTTGCAATGGCCAATAGAGAATGACGAAGAATTGACTATCAATTGGCGATAAAACGCGCCGCACCTAGCCCAGACCCAATCCGGGTTAATCAACTGCACTGTACGGCGGGTTGAGTCAGAAGGGGTCAGCGAGGGTCAACTATGGTCAGCTAGGTCAGAAAGGGTCACAGTAGAGTCTGGGGATCTCAGTTGACCAGATGTTCAAAAAGGTGAGAGAGATCTTCGACGATCTTGGGTTATACATAATGGGCTTGGTGAGGCTCGAAGGGTAATAATAAACACATCCGGCCTCCGCTAAGCCTTAGAAGAAAAGGACTCGCTGGGTCATCACTTCGGGTTTTTGTGTATCACTTCAATCATGCCGGTGACCACTGACCAGTTATGAAAGTTTCTCTCAAACGCTGACCAGTCCACTACGTTATCTGCCTGACCGAGCACATCGAGCGCTTATGGCGAGCACGCATGCTGAATGCCATCGGCTCTTTTACCATCGATTCGGCCATTCAAGAGGCGAGGTCAAGAGACAGACATCGGGTGCATAGGTAGCAAATGTGCACAGAAACTCATACCTTGGGCCATGGGCGTCGGCCAAGAGTGAAACGCTTTATACTCTTTCTACAGAGCAAAGGCTGTTGGAAATGAGAAAGCTATTCTTCTACATGGGTTCCACATTCCAGATGCCATCGATGACCGGAAGGTGGTTGAAAATATTTGACACACCGCTTCTATTGGGCCAATCACATAAAACCATGTCACACATTGGAACGGTGTACTCGCAGAAAAAGGTTCAAATCATGACTCATCCAATGGTCACGGCCTTCGCATGCGTAGATGATATTAATGAGACGCATCTCCAGTCGATTTGTCATACCACGGCATAGATTCAGCGGTCAATCATTGACCTTCTCATCATGCATGCAATGATGGTGCATAAATGATGATAAGCTATAATGAAGTGGTGACTCAAGCACGGGTCCGCGTTAGATAGACTCGCAGACAACCCCACTACTAGCCCGTCTCCAGTCTCCCCTAACGCCCCTTCGAGCACTCTGGGGTCAGGGCACCTGCTACACATTGTGGCACACAAACTCACAACATCGAAGATACGACACAACACACTGTGAAGTCTCATCCACACACACGCACCTTAACAGCTTACCATGCAAGTAGCAGTCTCTGTCATAGTCTGGGCACAACCACAACTGCATTCACTGACCATTGTGGACAAACTCCCAAAACTCACCCATACCTCACTCTACCCAGTGGCGGATCCAGGGGGGGGCAAAATGGGCATTTGCCCCCCCCAAACGGCATGATTTTAACATTACGCCTATGGACGATGCATGGAAAGAATCGATAAATTTCTATGGTTTGCCCCCCCCCAAAAAAAAACTCTGAGCTGGATCCGCCTCTGACTCTACCCACATCCTCCTCCCTCTACCCTCGCAGGACAGAGCGCGTGATGCCTACGTGCGTGTCGGTGATGGCCGATGGCATTGGGCGGTACCGCAGCTACCGGCAATTTAACCGAATAACAAAGGCCCTGGACACCATGTGAATACACTATTACCGTGGCGAGTCGCGGGTGGGCTCACGAATGCATCGTCAGTTCTCTATCTAACACGATACAGATTAACTTATAATGAGCCGAACTGGAAAGCCTGGATTTGACACAGTCTTTATTTTCAGCCGAGGATAAGGTCATAAACATTATACTAATTTCAAAATAATATCCTCGCACAAACACTAAGAAACCTAAAAAAATGTTAAAGGTAGTGTGCCACCTTTGAAA